TCCTCCTGGACCAAGGCATAGGTCAGTATGAATTAATTCCCTGAAGTCACCAGAGCATCGCCTGCGAAGGCCTGAGGAAGCCTGGATCTGTGGTGAAACCTGTGGAGTCTGCTAAACCTAGAAGCCAGGAGGTTCACGTCCAGTTTCCCCCACCTGCAACAGGGGTCATAAACAACTTGGAGTGAGGACCACAGATGACCTTGCAGACAAGAGGTCCAGCGGAGAAGGGATAATGCAATTGCCGTAGTTTTGGAACATTGATCAGGAGACAAGTTTTATATATATTTTGTCTTAAAATCACTCAGCAGCATAGTACAATATATCAAAGTCATTTTATTAATCTGTACAACAATCACCTCTTCATAAGCTGGAAATCACTCATGCAGAAAATAATTGTAAAGCATCGGTATACCAATATAACCTGTTCTGAATAGCAAAAAAACAGTTCAAGCACAGCGAACAAGTAAATTCCATTGACCTTAGCATCCACATAACAGTTTGATAAAACACAGCATATGGTATTTTTAGTGTAATAACCCTAACAATATTGTCACCATATACCACATTCAAACATAGTGCTGCTGATTTAGAGAACTAAAAGGAATACATGAGTCTTCACTGCCAACAGCACCCACTCATCATCTAGCTCACATTTTATTCTAATTTACAGCAGAATTTGTATTCTGATTTGTTGCTACAGGTAAAAAAGATAGTTAGCCCCACTTTGTAATATGGAAAGGCAATTGGTTTCCAGTGCTGGCTGGAAGAAATTGCTAAGAGTTGCAGCTTATTATTTATTTATTTATTTATTACAGGTACTTATGTAAGGCTGCCAAATTACACAGCACTTTACATACTATTCATTCATATCAGTCCCTGTACTCAAGGTGCTAAAAATCTATTTAGACAGGAGTCAATTAATCTATCAGCATGTCTTTGGAGTGTGGGAAGAAACAAGAGTACTCAGAGTAAACCCACACAAGCACAGGGAGAACTTGCAAACTCCAAGCATAGTGTCCTCCTGGATGGGATGTGAACCAATGACCCAAGCACAAGCCATTGAGAGTAGCAGACCTCCCTATCTGCAAGAGGCAGCTCGGTTAGTCACAAAGAAGTACATAGAGAACAATAGGTCACAGTGCCGTGTCCTTCAATAAATGCAGAGAATAGGATTTTACTGTGAGTACAAAAATCCTATTTTCTCTTACGTTCATTGAAGGACGCAGCAGAGATCTTAAATCTCTTAACATTGGGATGTCCCAAAGCAGTGTCTACCTGGGGGTGGGAAAACAAAGCAACTCTCCCAAAGCAGGAGCAGTACAATGGTGCCTGTATGATGTGCACACTTCAAACAGGATACAGAAAGATGAGAAGTCACCTGACTAAGTGACATGCAAGGGCCAAAGCCACCCTGATGAACTGCTCTAGGGGCCCAAAGCCTCTTCTAGGGATCTTGGAGACAAATACTTTCTAATGGAAGCAGGGGCTGCAAGGTAAACCCACTCAGCAGGAACTAATATAGACAGGGAAGTGAAAATATTCTTCTAAGTCATTAGAGCTGGACAGATAGGAAACCATGGCTATGTAGAATTTAGAAGCATGTTAGGAAGGAAGGAGACTGGACTGCAACACCACTTCACCTCTGCGAAGGACTAGAGAATCTTCTGAACACCAGAAGTACATAGAGATACATGAGTGAATTGTTTTTGTATGTAAGGAATGTGATCTTTTACCAGGTTAAATTACAATGTAACATCTTGAATGGGCATCCAGATTTAAATGAATTACTATGGGGTGGTTATTGAAAATGTCGAAAATCACGCAGTTTCCAATGCCTGTAGTATTTAAATTATAGTATTAAATTTTGATATTTTGAGCAAGATTGGCTTGTGGAAGTTATACAGTTTACCTGCACTCTGCCCATGACTGCATTGCTTAGGAGGGGAATTACCAGAGCATGATTTTCATGTTCAATAAAATTAGATACAACAGCACTTTGACTTGGACAATAAACTGAATTAAAAACAATAACAGTAGTGTACACATTATCCCAGGTAGTATTACGATATCAGTGGGCTCAGGACAAACATCACAGTAGTGAGTCCATTATCAAGTTTACTCTGGAGTATAAAACATATGACCGTTACATTACCATTAACATCAAACTGTATCTTACTAAAGGCAACATACATATTAGCCATACAAGGAAGTACTTGTATTGCCTCCCTGACATTCTCTATGAATGCTTGGCAAATAACATTATTGATCCATTACAGATGGTTCAACAATCCTCTGGTTACTTTCATATTTATCCCAGGAACTGTAAGAAGCTGGCATACACCGTCTTTAATTGAAAATGCCTTAGACAGAGCTCAATTTTTGTATTTAAGTGCAGAAGGATAAAAAGATGAACCTACTTATAAAGGCCATAAGTCTGTGAGAAGGGTCATAGGTCCCCACAAAGGGAAAACAGGTTCCATATACATTATTGAGTGAAAACAGTGAACAATAGTGTATAACTACCTGTGTCATCTCTTTTTTTGGAAGAAACAGAATAAACCGAGTACAATGATCTTACACCTAGAATATCTATTCGTCTGATATTGTGCTCTCAAATTCAGCAACAAAAGATGAACAATAAAGCCAGCCTTATGAACAATTAGTATTTTATGCTTTTGTTCCTTCTGTTGAATTCTTCATACTATTACTAAGTAATTAGCATGGACAGTGGGGCACTCTAATAACTGCCCTGACAGGAAAGCAGAGTCTCTGAAAGACATAAGAAATCACTGGGTGATCTAACTCTCTAACATCTACTAAAAACTGACATACCTGTTTTGGGTTAACTGAGCCTCTACAATCAATTATGTTGTTTAAATGACACTTTAGCACACAGATAAAGCACAGATAAACATGTGAAGCCAAATTATTGGGCTTTTCTGCATCGTCAATGCATATTTTTCTCTCAATGTCGGGGCACCATTAAATATTATGATGTTGCATCATATGAAACAATACTATGGGGTCTAGTTATACATGACTTCACCACAGATTCACATACTTTTCACCCAAGATTTATAAATTTTCGATTGGAAGATTTATACATTTTCGATTGGAAAATGTATGAATCTTGGATGAATGTTAAGTGAATTTTGCGTGAAAAAAAGATAAATAGATTTTTTATATCTTTCAGGAGGTCATTATCTAACATGTATCGTTTAAAATGCTAGATGAATATCTTGATAGATAAAATATGAAAAAGTAATATCAGCTGGAAGAATTGCACGCCATAATCTGTCAGCAGGTAAGTATTGTTCAGAATCAGTGCAGTTAAGTGCCACACAGAGCCCTCACACCTCTCACGTAGAGGTGAGCTTCCGCAAAGTACACACGCCTCCTCATGTGCCAATCCTCAGGCCTCCTCATTATCATTATTATGATACAGGATTTATATAGCGCCAAAAGTTTACGCAGCGCTCATAGGTCAATATGGCACAAACGCTGCACTGTGGGATAGGGGTGAGGGTGTGCCTAACTTTTACTTCCAGTAACTGGAGAAAGAGTTTGGGTGGCTCTGGACTGCCCCGATTCTGCAGCAATCTCTTCACTTTTGATTTATCCACAGGCTGGTTTAAGTGATATGGCTTAAACCATTATTTAGTGGTGCCAAGGTCAAGGTAATTCTTAAAGCCACCCACAGAATATAGACAGAGATCTTTCCTAAAGTTGCAATGATCCTACCTACTGAAAAATATAATTCATCTGCAAAATACAAATGTGACAGTGATTCTAGTAGCACAGGAATATATATATATATATATATATATACACACACACACACACACATTTTCTG